CCCCCCCCACCCCGGGAGCATGTGTGAAGATGCCCATGGGTACTTACGGCCATTAAAGATCTAACAACATTTATTAAGTGAAGAAATGGTATCAGTCCCAGTACCAGTATGATTACCTAGTAATTACTTCCTTTCAGCGATAGTGAACTGAACTAATAAATAGCCATAACTCTGTTTGACATGAACATTGTGCAACTGCATTGGTTTTAATTGTAAACACTTTTAGACCTCTGAGGAGAGGTGCTTTACAAGTGTGGAGATTTTTGGGAGAAATCTAAAATGGTATTTTTAATGAACTTTTAAAAGTAGATTTTATTCTTTGTATCCTAAAAGTGACCTCTGTCAAGATGGGTGCCCATTGTACTACGCAATGTTCAAACACATAACAAAGCAGTGCTGGCCAAGAGGACCTCACAGTCTATACTGAGTGGACCTCGCAATCTATATAGACCAAACTGACAAAAGGATTAGAAGAAAGGGATGTAATATACAAGTAGAGGGCTAAATTGTGGAACTTACTCACAGTGCTTGTTGAGCACAATATCTTTCAGAGGTTCTCAATTATGACACCGGGTGATTTTGTTGTCTCAGGAGCAAACCATCAACACTTGCAGCATATTTAGTTATAGTTCTGCAGCTAAAAATGATGCAAAGCAACTCTGAGGCTACAGGTACCTCCCATAAGTTGCCCTGTGGAAACAAAGCCTGGGTTATATAAATTTAAATCTGGAATAACTCTATTGAACATAGCAGAGTTACTTGGAAATTTCACCAGCTTAAGTGTGTTTTGCTGTTATTCTTTATGGTGGTAGAGAATGCTGTTTCACTGTCATAACTAATAATAATACCAAATAAATCTTGACAGATTGGCACCTAACAAAATTTTGGTTCTTTCCTTAAAGGTTTTGCCAACACTGAAAATGTCTACCTTTATCTTTGCTTTTCCAGATGTTGTCACCCCAAATGGTTTGAACATTAAGAAATTTTCAGCAACACATGAGTTTCAGAACTTACACATCATGTACAAAGCTAGGATCCAAGAGTTTATTCGTGGTCATTTCTATGGGTATGCTTTTACTTTTCAAAATGAGCACTTGGTTGTCTAAGGCTGTTGAGGCAAGAGCTAGAGTAGGTAGACTGTAAAAAGTACTTCCTAGGGGACTGGGACTGTTACCTACTGACTCTTGTAATTAACTGAGAGCCACAATAGGAATCCTAGCTTCTGGTTCTGGCTCTGTGTAGTACCATGTGTGATCAAACAAAAGGTTTGACATGCATGCTATTTACCCAAGATATAGTTCAATACAGAGTTCTGAAAGAAACCCTTGCCTTTCTGATTGTCATGGGATCTTACAGCAAATCATGTCAGTGAACTGCTTTCTGCTTTGTCTGGTCACATTTGATGTATACTGTCTTCATCTGTTTGTTTGTTTGTTTCAGTCATCTTGACTTCAACCTTGAAAATACTTTATTTTTCTTCATTGCTGGGAGATATGAGTTTTCCAACAAAGGAGCTGATATATTTCTAGAGGCCTTATCCAGGTTAAACTTCTTGCTGAGGGTAAGAAAGGACTTGTAAATGCAGGATGCTTCTAGGTTATGCACATTTAATTCACCCAAATATATAGGTTGTGTTCAAGACTCCCTATCCCAGTGACTGGGAACCAGGGCCAGAATGGCTTAGCTCAGGTTTGAGAAGGACTGATGTTAGGACCCAGTTGCTGCTTCCAGGGCTTCTCCCTGCCACCCAGCTGTGGCACAGTGCAGCATGGTATGAGTGAAGCTTCAGCCACTGAATTCTGCTGATGCTTCAGCTCTGGGGGCCAGATCCAAGGGCTTCACAGGCTATAGGTTGCCAGCAGGGGCCCTATACTGTGCTCCACCAATATTCAGTTGGCACAGCAGCACTGTAGGGAACTACTCCAGCTGCTGTGACCTAGTTCATTCCTTGGGTAGCCAATGAATTGCAATAGTAAAAAAATGACTTAAAACCTACTTTTCACCCTTCCCACTCCAGCTGCATCTGGCCTGTATATCAGTATGGGCTATCTGTGGAATAAGTATTAAGGATATTGAACAAATTTACCCAAAGTTTAAGGTGTTTCCATCCTGGCTCACGGGCATATTCCTAAATGGCTTTGACAACTTTCTTGAATGTGTCATGTGTCATTGCTCTATAATAGCCGCTTCTGACTATTTTAGGCTTGAGAGCTGGATTTGAAACCATAAAATAGAAAACTTTTATAATGCCTAATATTAAAAGATGTGCTTGTAAGATGAAAAAAATTGTCCTCTGTAGATAATTCCCTGGAGTTTGGAAAGCCAAAAACTGTTATTGTGTTAGTGCAGGACAGAGACTTGGAAAATAATAATAAAAAACTAGACCTCAAAGCCCAGGTTTCCTACTACTTGCCCTTTCTGCTGGTGATGGTAGGGACAGAGGGTCCATGAAGGTGTTGCTTACAGCTCCCTAATGCCCTGTCCAGTTCTACACCAGCTGTTCGTTTGATTTATAGCATCTAGTAATGACCTTCAAGGAGCCATCTGGCACATGGAGATGGCTGCACTAGGCTCATTCCTGCCCCATTACATCAGAGTCAGAATGGGGTGGGGTAGAACTTAATTAAGCTATATGCCTACTTGCTGAGGACTCACTCAGGTCAAATCAATCTTCAGTGGGAAGATTCAGACAGTTTTGGTCCCTTTGAAAAGTGCATCCCAGAAATTTGCCCTAACTAAAACCTCACCAGTCACTTTTAATTGACCAAGCTGATTAAATGCCGTGAGTAAAGAAGCTATAGAAATGATAAAAAGTGCATTTGCTTCAAGAAATTCTTTCATTTTAAAATAATCTTTTTTTGTCTCATGGTAACAGATTAAAATCATGTGTTAAATGCTGTGTATGAGGTTTATATATGCTGTTTGACTTTACATTTACACAAATACTTCAAAGACACAGAAGGAGGTCTTAAGAAATGTTTTTGACTATTCCTGGTAGCACTCATGTGGACCCTTGTGCCTCAACAGAGCCTGAATTGAAGGCATGGGTCCACCACACAGATCTGGGTGCAGGCATGGTCCTTTACTGACCCAGATGAGATGGGCTTTGGTCTCTGCCTTTTGTGTCTAATTCCTGTTGTGCAGGATGTCTCACATACTGTCTGGAATCTCAGTTAGTTTCTGGATAATGATTTCTTGCTAACTGTCTCCATCTTTTCTCTATCTAGGTGCACAAAAGTGACACCACAGTTGTAGTGTTCTTCATAATGCCTGCAAAAACAAATAATTTCAATGTGGAAACGTTAAAGGGGCAAGCAGTCCGCAAGCAGCTATGGTAATCACTACTCTTATCATCGTTCTTGGCTGGGGAGTTAAAGGGATAATAATTGTACAGATCACTCATGCAAGATGATGCTACAGTGGATATTGCCTTTATTCATGGTTCTAGGGTCTATTCCAAGCTATAGTCACCTCCCAAAATATAAGATATATGATACATCATAGGTAATTATTATATTTTCTCAGTATAGTAAGGCCTCATTTGGAGTACTTTGTCCAGTTTTGGTTTCAAAAAATGTGCACAAACTGGAAAGATTCCAAGGAAGTGCAGTCCAAGTGATAAACTAGAAAATATAACCTGCAAGGAAAGGTTGAAAGTATTGAGTTTATTTAATCTAGAAGAGAGAAGACTGAATGATGGCCATGATAACTAGATGGATAGTGTGGCCCTGGAATAGCTACTTAGAAAGGTTATAGAATCCAATCACTGGAGATTTTTAAGAGCAGGTTGGACAAACTTCTGTTGTACATGGTCCTTTTGCTCCATCCTCAGTAGGACAGGTTAGAGTTAGATGGCCTCCCTGCATTTCTATAATTCTATGAGTTGATTGAATTTCAGTCTAATGCAAAATCTTTAAGTAACCTCTTATACCAGTTAGAGCTGGAGCTACTGACATTATGGAAGCTTCAATCAGTGCCCGTGGACTCTGCCTTTTAGCAGAACTTCCAGGTACATGAAGAGCACCACAGGCAGTTGCTGAAAGGCAGTTGCATTGCTTCTAGTTCAGGCCATGATGTGTCTCAATACAGGGCTGTGGGGGATAATAATGAGGCAGTATGGATTCTTCTGGGACATAAAATTTAAACCAGGACAAAATCCTGATATATATATTTTTTAAATTCCTTAAGGACACAAAAAGAACTTCTCATTGATGTGAAGGTGTGTTGGTTTTGGGGGGTTTTTTGGCTTCCAAGTCAATTTGCCAGGGGCATATCTAGTGACTTATTTACAATTTCTTCTCTCCTATAGGATTCACTGAGAATTGAACAAGTTTGTTTGTTTTCTATCTGTGGCCCCTTGCATGTGTTACAGTTGTCTTGCAATTAATATGCTAATTGCACCATAAATAGCAACAGTACTACATTTTCAGCTGATTTATGGAGCCATGAAGTGGCAAACCAGCCATAAAGTTCCACAGAAAGTCTTCATACAGACATTTGGGGAGTTTAGGGGGAGGTTGGATCGCATTAAAAATAGCCACCCAATCTAAAGTAAGTTGGGTGGGGCCTGAGGAGAATTGTGGGGATCAGGTGGAATTCCCTGGGGGGATCAGGTGGTCAAGTGGGGTCCATGGGTGACTGGTGCCACCTTAGATGGGTGGGGCAGATGCCCCCCAGTGACCAGTCAGCAACCCAGCGGGGGGGGGGTCCCCCTACAGCCAATCTTGCCGACTGGGAAGTGGCCGCGGTGCTACATCCAGCGTTCCCACTCCATGTTCAATGAGCTTTAGTTAAAGTGCCCCCACCATCATTTTGAAGTTCAGGGACACTGAATACATAAGATGTTGAGGCTATTGGAGCATGCTAATTAGCACTCAAATTAACTGAGTCTGCTCCAACACACTGCGGGCATTTTTTTACATGTGTTTCCGACGCGGCGCTGGGTGCTTTAATTAGCCAGCCACGCTAGTTAAAAGTGCTGTGCATCATGTGTATCAGCGTCACCATGCGTCCCTGCTCTAAAAAAATGGCTGTGGGGTGCTTTGAATTAATTTCCATGCTCCAGCAGACTCAATTAATCAAGTCTGCTCTGATGTACTGGATTTCCAGCATGTCAGAGCAGGCTCCCCACATGTGTATAGGAGCCCTATAATTACAGCGTGTCAGAGGAAATGTCCTGCACGTCTACAGGCACCTGTTATGCCCCATTTCAAACATTGCACCTCCTCCCATGAACATCTGGTATGTCAGGAGGAACTGGGTAAACCTACACGGTCATGAATACTCTGTAATAATGGCATATTAAGCTTAGTACTTGTAATAACAGGTACTAACTTAATGCACTGTAATCAGCGCTACTGCACAGTAGCACAGATGAAAGCTTTTTTAGTGATGTTAATGCGCATTAGATTAATCTACTGCACATTAGTACATTAGCACAGGTTTTGTCTACTGCACTAATGCACAGTAGAGTTAGTCTTCTGAGCATTAAGTGTCTCATGTAGACACGCCCACTGTATTTCAGATGTGGCATAATGTTACTTCAAACCCACTGCACCATCATCTTAACATCTGTCAGGAGCCTCTCTCTTGCTCACTTTTTTACACCTGGAGCTGATTTTCATATTGGAGAAGAATGATCTACTTGTCCTTGTTCTTGTGCTTCCCTGTTTCCTGAATCCCTAGTGTAAGTCAGAGTACTTTTAGTTTTGTTCTTATTTCCACCAGCAGTGACATTGTACATTTTGGCCCTGACAGGCTGCATTTTACAAATTTTTTTCTTACATATCTAGGGACACTGCACAATCTGTGAAAGAAAAATTTGGAAAGAAACTTTACGATGCACTCTTAAGGTGAGTCTCAGAGTCACTTTACATTTCAGAGTGACAATTCCAGCTGTATAACCTGGATTGTTTCCCTGTTTGTATTATGTGCACATAAGAAAAGAACATTGGGAGAAATGGAAAAGGAAGATGTAATTAGACTCAAGCGCCTTTCCTCTACCCATGATTTCCTGTGTGTAGTTGGATAAGTCACTTAATATGAAGATTTCAAAGGAACCTATCTGGTATAGGAATCTAAATCCTATATTGAAAAATGTTGTGGGCTTTTAGGAGTCTTAAGAGTACATCTTTAATGAAGAACAGTGTATTTTTAACTTGGGTTGGGTCTTTAGAAGTAACTAACTCAGGTTAAAATAGCAATGATCAGGTAATGGGTTTCAACCTGAGGTAGCAAATTAAATTCAGTCCCAGGTTTCCATATTGGCTTAAACTCAAATTAAAACTCTAGTTCATTTTCTTCACTGATATTTAAACATGAGTTACCTAGAAAAGAGTGCCCTTCATTTAGCTTCTCTAAATCTATCCCATCCATGCAGCTGGTCCAATAAAAGATATCATCCGCTGTAATCCTTCCTGTTATGAATACAAGTATTTTCAAGCATGGTTGCTAAACCCTTATTCTCATTAAGATTCAAAGTCACTTAAATCTGGTCTATACTAGAGTATTGCCAACATGGCTACATTGTCTAGAGGTGTGAAAAGGTCACAAGCCTACATTAGGTAGTTGCTGCCACCCTAACTATGGCAAAGGCTCCTAGTGGAGATGTAGCATTTAATGGCAGAAGGTCTTTTTCTTCAGGCATTGCAACACAGCCTCTTTGAACAACAGAAGTTCAATGGGTTAGAAGTTCTTTTCTGTCAGGATAGCTATATCCAGAATGGGAGTTTACCAGTATAGCTATGTTAAATACAAAGCTTGACCTTGTCTTGCCTCGAGCCAACAAAACTTTGTAGTATATACCAAACCATAGACGAGCCTTTTTAAAAATGTTTACATTAATCTCTCCTTGCCTGTGTTTCACAATCTATAAAATGAAGGTTATAGTACTTCTCTACATATCAGGAGTGTTAGCACTGTAAACAGGAAATGTATATAAATATGGTTGATAGAAGAGAGTGGAATTCAGATCTCCTGAGACTTTGGTTAGATCAAAGGAAAAGAAGGCCTTTGCACATATTTCTCAGGACATACTCTCCATTTCAAGTGGAGGTTATCCTGAGTTAAAGCCATATGATCTCGTGCTTACTAGAGTTGCCTGGGAATTTCAACAAAAATGAAATGCTCCTGAGAAAGAAAAATTAAATATCCATAATTCTTCTTCCATTTGCAAACCTGTGGAGCAGTTTGCAAATACTTTGATTAAAATTATATTTTGACAAAAATTGAAATAAAATATCATGAGATTTTTATCACTATATGTATGTATGTGTATGTATGTATAGCCATAGCTAGAGAGAATTGGAGCGAGGCAGTGGGAGAGAGAAAAAAGGGTGTTTATGTGGAAAACATTTAGAAATAATAATAATACCTTCCACTCAGTTAATGGCCTATACCAGTGTCCCTTAAAGACAATGAAAAGACCCCTGTTGACTTTAGCAGGTCTTTATCTTCACTCCACAGTTGTAGTGTAATTTGTAAATTCATAATAATCATTTCTAAAATGACAAATTACAAGCCATTTGGTGAAATAGACTCTCTGTATTACCCATGCAGAGGAGAAATTCCAGACTTGAACAAGATCCTTGATCGGGATGACATAACCATAATGAAAAGAGCCATCTTTGCAACTCAGGTCAGAAGGGATATTCATTGTTTATTCATAGATTCATATATTGTTAGGGACTGGAAGGGACCTTGCAGACCATTGGGTCCAGCCCCCCTGCTCTAGACAGGAAGACAATTGGGGTTAAATGACCCCAGCAAGGTGACTGTCTAGTCTAGTCTCCTCTTGAAAACCACCTCTGGAAGGAGTTTATTCCACAGTGTGGACACCCTGACTGTGAAGGAGTTTTTCCTGGTATTAAGCCTGAAGCAGCCTTCCAGGAGTTTGTACCCATTGGTCCTGGTCTTTCCCGGGGGTGCCCTAGTGAACAGTTGTTCACCAAGCTCCTGATGCACTCCTCTGATATAGCGGTAAGCCACAATCAAATCCCCTATCGAACATTTGATGGAAATGATAAGTATGGTCATATACAAGGATCACAAACCATGCATTTGAATACATATTTGTTGGAAAACTGTTCTCCAGCATATACATTTCTCATAGCATTTTGAAGTGCAGTCTGTGACACTTTTCTTTTTCTTTTCCAAAGTCCCTAAGCTTATTTGGAATTGCAGGGACATGCCTAGTTTCCCAATCATATCACCAAATCCCTTGGCCCTCTCTTATTTTAACTAAATTAAAGGTCTTTGCCCACTCTCATATGGTTTCACAGTTCCTTACCCTCCTGTTTGCTTTTATTTCATGTCAAGTCTCTTCCTGACTTAAGGTGTGTGTGTGTGTGTGTGTGTGTGTATGTGTGTACACACACACCTGCACACAGGTTGTTTTTCTAAAAGGTATACAACAAAATTAATAGATAAAAGAACTATTGGGTAAACCACTATGCCATGTGTAGTTCAGGTAAAATTAGATGATTATAGAAGTACCTTCTAGTCTTAAAATGTAAAGGTAAAATCCTGACATTGGTGGCAAAATTCTCATCTGCTTCATCTAATGAAGAATTTCATTAATGGATTCTTCACTACCAGTTTTTTATTCCTTGCTTAAAGTTGCCTTTACTGTGCTGTAGAGACAGACACTACCTCCAGTGACCACCCACAACATGCTTGATGATAGCAATGATCCCATTCTCAATACCATTCGGCGCATTGGACTCTTCAACAACCGCACTGACAGAGTCAAGGTAGAATCTCTCATTCTAATTTTTTTTTTTTTGTAATAGAATTTCTTTAAGTAGTTTCTCTGTAGCTGATATAGCTGGTTGGCACTTGAGGAAATTGGTTCCATTCCTGGAAGAGACATGCAATAAAATAATTACCACCCTTTCAAATAACAGCAGCCAGTCACTTTTAACAAATACCCCTGCCCACTTATTACCTGCAAAAATTCAAAGGAGACATTTCTTGTAAGGAACGATGGCTTTTGTCATTAAAATGGTTTAGCACCATGCACAAAATCCTGGGGCTAGTGAAGTCAACTGCAAGATATCCGTTGACTTCTTGAAGATTAGGATTTTACCTGATGGGTTTGTAGCCTGCATTATTTAATAAATATTTACATGTGGCTTGCCCATATCTACTAGCAGGTTTCATGGCTGCCTTCCTAATCCTTAACAAAACAGGAAACATATATCTGAGATAGGCAAACCCAGAAAAAGTTGATTCCTTAATGCAAATGCCTGCATATTTAACTGGAAAAAGTTCTCAATATGAAAAGTGGAGTTTCTTGGTGCTCTTGGAGTCACTCTTGGTGTTATATTGCTCAGAGCAGGATTCTACTCTCCTGGGCTCTTTCTTGTGGTGACAGATCTTAGCACAGCATATTAGTCCTAATAATTGCCACAGCCCAGCCCATGATGAGCAGCATCTGTGATTTTCCTTATTAAGTATGGATGATATTAGCAATGGACCATTTAAAACTGTTTTTGATAGCACCCTTGTTTCCACAATAAACTTATATGAAGAGATATAAGATAAAAGATAAATTAGATAAGGGAAAACTAAACAAATTAAGATTCCAAAAATCATTGATGTTATTGGGCTGAGTTGTATGTAAACAGACTAAAATCAGGACTGGGAGAGAATACAATATCTGAGTCCTTTGTTTTAGAACCACAATAAAGACACTAACTGTTCCATGTTTTACATAATAAAAAGTATTGCTTTTATTTCTCTTTTGGTTCTAATGTAACTTTTGAATATCCAGGTAATATTACACCCAGAGTTCCTTTCTTCAGCAAGTCCATTATTACCTATGGACTATGAAGAGTTTGTCAGAGGCTGCCATCTGGGAGTGTTTCCATCTTACTATGAACCCTGGGGTTATACACCAGGTAAGCAATTTTTACACTAACTGCTGTTAGATGGTAATACATGTCTTATTAATGTCTGTGCCTTTAAAAATGGAATTGATAGTCATCATCTGCTGCATTATTTCAAGATCACTTTTGACTCCATTTCCCCTACCACACAAGCCTGCTGATGGCAGAATTTTGGGGCCAACTCGCATAATAACTCCATTGAAAACTACCCATTGTTCTTATTTTGAACCCTGACTTTCCCCAGTAGTATATAATTTTATGGTCTCCTATGGCATCAGAATACAGATCTAATTTATTTTCTGGTAACATCAAGTATGTGTCATATAAAACGAGATCTGGAGGTATGGACATATTTTAGTAACAGGGCAAGAAAATAGGCGCAACCCAAAAAGGTCCTCAGCTGGCACAATTGCCTTGATTTCAGTGGAATTCTGAAGAGTTTGGATTTCAGTTGCATAGTCTGCTGGGTATTTACCATGCACACTTACAAGTAGGAATGAGTGAGCCTCAAAGGCCTAGTGGGAGATTTTTAAAGTAACAGGTACCAGTGAAGTTTCCAAACAAAAAAATTCCACCCTGATCTTCAGTGATATTTGGGCTCCCATTTCCCATTTAATATGTATATAAATACATATAAATCAATGGAATGTATAGACACTCAAATGCCTTGGAAGATATGGGTCTAGGTGCTTCCATTCATTTGTGTTTTGGGGATGTTGGTTATAGGTATGTTGGTCTAAGGACATAGGCAGACAAGGTTCTTTGGGTAAATGTGATATCTTTTATTAGACCAACTACATAGTCGGAAAAAATTGTTCTTAACAAGCTTTCAAGCACAAACACCCTTCTTCAGACATAGGGAGAGTCTGCTGGTGTTTGTGTACTCTTCTGGGTGGAACAGAAGCTTAAGCCAATATGCAAAATGCAGGTCTGTCAAAATGCAAATGTGTGGCAGGGATGATCAGAGGGGATAGAATTTAATAGGCGTGAGACAGGTATGGTACGGGTAGAAGGGTCTCTATGGTTTCTATACTTCCACAGTTGAAAACAGGGATCCCAGATTATATTAAAAAGAGCTGGCTTGAAGAAAGAAATGATTGATAAACAAAACAAAAAAGTGTTGTTTCCATTTCACTTTGAAGGTTTCTAACCAATGTCCTCCCATTTTCTGCTTCCCAATGTGAAACCAAACAAAGTGCGTTGACATAAAATCTCTTTGTATGTGTCTTTCGATAGCGGAATGTACTGTGATGGGCATTCCTAGTGTGACCACAAACCTTTCGGGATTTGGGTGTTTCATGCGGGAGCATGTAGCTGACCCAGCTGCTTATGGTGAGACTTTTAAGAGCACTTCCAAACAACACATTAGACCGTGCATATTGCACTTGCACTTCTTGACTGGTGAGGAACAAACTTCAGAGTTCCAGAATTTGATTTTCCATCAAAGTTTATCCATATGTTTACGAGAGTTTTCTCTTGTGTATGTTTTCCCCATTCAACTAACTCCTTATCTCTGCTTCCAGCTCAAGTAGCTTTCCTTCATTCCCATCCAAATATGCTATAGCCTGGTCTTGGAAATGGTCAAACTATCTCTGTTTTAAGACTTCATAAAGAAGTTATCAAATTTTCAGAAGATAGGTGCATATATTGAGGTAACACTGTAAAATACTAGTGGAGACAAAATGCTGCAATTTTTAACTCAGTGAAGCCAGTTGAGATTAATCCTGGATGTAAATGTGTTAGCCTTGACTAGCTATGTGGAAGCCACTAGCTATGTTTATCTGTGCCTTGTCTCCACTAGGATTTTATATTAAGAGAGTGAACTCAAGTTAACTATGTCAAGGTACAAATACAGCTCTTTTTGCTTTGAGGAAATAACCTACCAACTTTCCAGTTTATGCTTCAGACCATGGAGTTTTAGTATCAAATAAAGGTGGAATATTTTCATTATATTTAGAAATGTACTCCAAAGTACTTGAAAGCTTTTCCCCCCAATTTTTCTTTTTTTAAAATAAACCTTCCTTATTTGAAAACAGATCTGCTGGATATCAGCATAAACGATTAATCAATCAATTAATCAATCAATTAATTTAATTTATTTAATTTATTAATTAATTATCAGCAACTGATGAAACATTCCCTTAGACTAGAAAAAACTGTGTAACTTATAGGTATCAATCCTTGCTCCACTTAGTAAAACACAACTCCACTACATGAAAAAAGTTAGGTATCAGGGAAAGTGGAACAGAAATGTTAAAAGCTCATTTCTGGTCTTGCTCATCTCCAACTTTGTGTCACTCAGGGATTTATATAGTTGACAGGAGGTTTCGCTCTCCTGATGAGTCGTGCAACCAGCTGACTCAGTTCCTGTATGGATTTTGCCAGCAGTCACGACGCCAGAGAATTATCCAGAGAAATCGAACTGAAAGACTCTCAGACCTGCTGGACTGGAGATACTTAGGCAGGGTGAGTGAACCTTTTTAGTAGCTATATAGTAAGCTGTTGTCACAAACACACAATCATCACTGTGGTTACATCTGTAGAACCTCTGATCATCTGTTTCAAGGCCTCAGTGAAGTGAGTCAGAAGAGTGAAGTGAAACATCCCTCTTCTAGAGGGCATTTAAGCATACGTTTAAGTGCTTTGGACAATCACACCCACTCATGCCCATGCTGAAGAGAATATTATTTTGACCTGATTAGTTTAAGCTGAAACCAAACATCATGCAGTCCTAGCTTTTCCAAGGACAAAGACTACACAAAGATAGTGCCTCTGGCCATAGCAACCTCCAAACTATCTTCCAGGCTCTGCCTATAGACATCCAAGACACAATGGAAGCATTTACGTGTTCATTAAAATGCTTTAAGTAATGTGCATTAAATCTAGTACCTCCATTGTGAGGTACTAGAAAAATGAGCATTCGCCTATTTTAAAATGTATTAGCTAAAGAGCACTTTTTTGTGACACACAATAAAATAGGCTACTGTGCATTAAAGCGCACATGTAGATGTACCCACTGAGTGGGTTTTTAAGTAACACAGAAGCACAAGCCCCATTAGCTTTCCATGGGATTTGTTCCACAAATACCCCTTGACATTGTGCCTCATACCCTCTGCTTTGTGCCCTCTTGGCTGTTCATTACCATTATGGTAGGGCTGTGCTTTGAAGGCACAATAAAGTCTTTAGCTTATCACAGAGAATGGGGCAATATTATGTGTTCATCAAACAGCAGCAGATCAGTATTCTACAGAGCACACAAGTGAAGAGACAAGGAAAATGTAATTACTGTGGGTTGCATCTTGCCCTGGAATCAGTGGGAGTCCCCCAACAAGTCTGTAGATGACACCATGCTGGGGGGAGTAGTACATATACTGGAGGGTAGGGCTAGGATTCAGAAAGACCTAGACAAATTGGAGGATTGGTCCAAAAGAAATGTTATGAGGTTCAATGAAGACAAGTGCAAAGTCCTCCACTTAGGATGGAACAATCCCATGCACCAGTATAGGTTGGGGACTAACTGGCTATGCAGCAGCTCTGCAGAAAAGGACCTGGGGGTTACAGTGGACAAGAAGGTGAATATGAGCCAGCAGTGTGTCCTTGTTGCCAAGAAGACTAACACATACTGGGCTGCATTGTTAGGAGTGTTGCCAGCAGATCAAGGGAAGTGATTATTCCTCTCTATTCAGCACTGGTGAGGCCACATCTGGAGTATTGTGTCCAGTTTTGGGTCCCCCACTACAGAAAGGATATGGATAAATTGGAGAGAGTCAAGTGGAAAGAAACAAAAATAGTTAGGGGGCTGGGGCACATGACTTCTGAGGTGAGGCTGAGAGAACTGGGCTTATTTAGTATGGAGAAGAGAAGACTGAGAGGGGATTTAAAAGCAGCCTTCAACTACCTGAAGGAGGGTCACAAAGAGGATGGAGCTAGACCACAGGTGGGCAAAGTCCAGCCTGCGGGTTGCATTGGGCCCACAAGGAACACCATTTCCCAGCAGCCCCTGCCTGTGTTGCTATGGCTGGTTTCCATGGAGACCCCAGAAGTGGCAGGGCTGAACAGGGTGGGCCAGGGTTTCCATGGAGACCTGCCCCAGCAACGCTGGCAGGGTGTGCGGCTGGGTGGGGAGCTACTCTGGAGCCAGGATCTTGCAGCAGTGACAGCGTGGTCTGGAGCTGGGACAGAACTGCGATCTGCTGCCCTGGGCACAGAGGGTAGTGAAGCACTGGAACAAGTTACCCAGAGAGGTTGAGAACTCTCTCTATCCTTGGTGTTTTTTAAGACCCGGCTAGACAAAGCCTTGGCTGAGATGATCTAGTTGGGGATGGTCCTGTTTTGAGCAGGGGGGTGGACTAGATGACATCCTGAGGTCCCTTCCAACCTTAATTTTCTGTGATTCTATGAGTCCACATGGAGCTCTCTTATAACAAATTCTCCATTCACTGTAAGCTGCAGGGTCTGGTAAGTTTCATGGAGTTTGAAATTTTGCAAATTCATACCAAGTTCACAAATCTGTTTCCCTGTAATTTATATTTATGTTCATTTTTAAGGAAGAGCCATTTTTAAAATGTGCATGGCATGCATTCATGTACAATGTATATAAGTATTTTTTTTCCTGTGAAAAAGAAACCTGTGCTATGTTTTAGGGATAAAGAATCCCACTTCCCAGAAAGCTAATCTGGTTCTAACAGATATCCTATTCCATTCTTTTACTCCTCGATCTCACAAAAACGTATCTGCATTAAAGCCAAAACACCAGATTATTTTCAAAGTGAATCAAGTGTAAATTACATCAGGAATTGTTCATTACTTCAGTTCTGTGTGTGTATAATACCACAGGGTAATACCAGTTGTCGCTGCCGTGCACTGCAGCGGGGGGGTCGGGACCTTAGAAGCCGTCAGGCGGGTACTTGTGACGCATGGAGTGGAATTAATTAGGCAGACGCTTATCGGTTGCAAAGCAAGATTATTTACTCACGCCGACAAGGTGGTGAATAACGGAGGTCAGAGATACTTGGTTAGTTACAGCTTAGGGTTCATAGGTCGGTCTGCATAAGAGTTCGGTGGTCGGGCAGAAAAGGTCGGGCCAGCAGGTCGTTGATTTACGTCTGAGATTGGGTCGAGACACGGGGGGGCACTGACAAGTGATCAAATTGTCGGTTACTCTGACACGTATGTTCAGAGGTCTCCAGGTTTATACGGAGTTGCTCTCCCCTTCTTCTTCCTCTTTGCGGAAGTGTATCGGGGTTTTGTTTGTGTACTAGCCAATTGCTTTTTGCCATGTCATAAATTTAATTAGAATCGCCAATTATCTAGCGGTCTTCGCTAGGGTGTTATTTTAGGGCTACTTCCTGTTATCTTTGACCAATTATAATGATTTATGTAAAGCACAGAAGGCTAAGTTTCATTTCTAGTTAGTGTCACAGTTATAAATCTCTTTTTGACATGCGCAGTAAAAAAAACTGTTACTATCATCTTGTTAGTTAACCCTTAGTTAACCTAGTGCAAAACAAAACTGCTTTGAATGGTATTACTTGCTTGTGACATGGGCACTACTTAATTGGGTTGTGACACCAGTTTGGTATAATCTAGGTTAGTTAGAGCTATATGCCATGTCCAGATGAGCGCTGCAGAGCAATCTATGGCACCACACACCACATATGCAGGTATTCCTCACATTGCTACTTTGCAGCGCAGGAGTTTTTTTGACCCCAGGAGATCACAGGGTCAAAAAAACCCATGCCAAAAAAACAGCCCAGACTGGGGCGCATGATGGCAGTGTGAGCCACCCAAAACGGGAATGTCGCTGGCCAGAGTCACACTTCAGCTGCCAGCTAAGCTCCCAGCTGGAGGAATGCCACAACTGCAGCTTCCCAGGGACACCAGCACCACAGATAAGGATGCTGAGGCCAGCACAGTTGTTGGCCCCAGCCTCCCCTACCCAACCCAGTGTAACCTGCTGTGTACTAGAGCAGGGGCAGGCAATTATTTTGGGTGGAGGGCCATTTGGAAAGCTGTCAAGGGCCGCATGGATAGTCCTGCCACTTGACAGGTGCCCCACCCCCTGGTTGCCATCTTGGGACCAGAAGTCCCGCCCCTAACCTCTGACCTTTGCCACTGCAAGTTCTTCCCCTTGCCCCTAGAAGTACTCCTTTGAGGACAGGGGTTTGCTACCTTAGAAGTGGGGAAAAAAAACAAATGATATAGTAAAAATCAAATACCTCTAATGATAAATTTTAATACAATTAAAAATATATATTTTCGTCCTGATTTGTGTGTACTTGTGCTGTATATGTAGAAGTGTTCCCCACATTGTGGGGAGCTGTGGATGTGTGTGTGTGTGTATGATATTTGTGGGATGGCAGCACCCACCAAGACTGCATGTGAGGGGGAGGGCAGCTGGGCCCTTGCTGCCCCAAGCCTCAAGTGCACGAGGAAACTTCTGCTCCTCCTCCCCACATTTCCCACACCCCGGGCTGAGTCCCCAGTGGCCTGTGCCACTGTGAGCACAGCAGGAGCTGCCAGACAAATGTAGCTGCAGGCCCAATGGAAGTCTCCATGGCCACCTGACCCTAGGCCAGGCAGGCACTCACCTGGGTGGCCTGATCCTTTTACCCAGATGGGCGAGCGTGGGGCACATAGGGTCAGGAGTGTGCGCACTAGTCCCTGCCTGTATCATTGTGCTGGGGGACTGGGAGCATGAGGGAGCCAATGACAGCCTGACAGTGCCACAGGGCCAGTGCTGACGGGGCCCAGAGCAGGGTGGCAGGAGCCTGAGTCATGGTTGGCTGGGCTGTATGGAGCCAGACTGGGCTGCACCAGCAGGGAGAGAGAGAAGCCACCCCGGAACACTGGAGCTGGCTCCCACACACCCTCTTGCTCCCAGCCCCCTGCCCCAGCCCTGTGGTCAGGCAGAGACCAGCACACGTGTCCCTGACCCCGCGTGCCCTGCACTCGCCTGTCTGGGCAAAAGGATCCTGGTTGTTGCTGGCTCCCATGCACCAATTCACTTCTGGCTGCATGGACAGACTGCAGGACTCAGCAGGAGCTGACCTGGCCCAAGGACTGGGGTGATCACCCACGATCCTCCCCTGCCTCCCTGTCCCCCTGCTCTTACCCGAATTTCCCACTGTGGCTTAAGCACGAGCAGCCCCACGGTCCCAGGCCAGAAGCCTCTGCTAGGCAGGGGCTTCCAACTGAGGGGGCAGGGCCAGGGCCGGGTGGACCCTGTTGTTCCAGGGGCCTGTCATGGCTTCCCTTGGGTCCTACTGCCCCTGGCTCCTGTCATTTTTTACAGGAGCCAGGGGCGGATAAATACTCATTTAAAAAAAAAATTAGGGGCTCCACGGGCCAGATAGAATGGCCTAGTGGGCTGGATGTAGCCCACAAGCCCTATTTTGCCCACCCCTGTACTAGAGGGTGCATGGCATAAGGTGTGCCACTGCTACTTGTCTCCAGGGAAAGAAACATATGCGCTCATGTGGACACGGCCATAGTCAGCCTTTTTTTTCTTTCCTTCCTTGAGAAGACAATACTTTTACTGTCTGTTTCCTGCAAAAGTAAGTCTGTTTTAATCTATATATTTCTTTGTTTTACATTTCAGTACTACATGCATGCAAGACACCTGGCTCTCAGCAGAGCTTTCCCTGAAAAATTTGAGATGGAACCAAGTGCTCCTCCCAAGGTGATGTCTGTACTTACAGATTTTTTTTCTGTATTTTAACTACTGTCTAGAGAGAGAAAATACTTTTAAAAATGATTATTTTGCCACAAAAGGGTAACATATGCATGAAAGACAGAGCCATCAGCTGAATGGAGGGACAGATCTTCCATTGCTGTAAACTGACATTGGTAAAGCTATGCCAATTTAGAGCAGATGAAGATCTTGGTACTGGGATGGAAATTGGTACCTTCTAATTTTATGCCCCCATAAAAACCCATAGAAAGACTGCTTTGCAAGTTCTATTTGGAGGGGCATTTTGGCAAGGTGTCAAGAGGCACCAGGGTCCTCTGCATGATCCCCTGTACATGATCTGTGGATCATGCAAGACTAATCTGAATAAGAGCTGAGGATGAAACAGTTGTTGGTCAGAATCAAGGCACATGTTCAATCTACTCATCATAAATAGTATATGTGCACCCATTTGGGGAGCAGTTGTACTCAGCTCCAAAATTAGGACCTGGGTTATTTAAAACCTAACTGAGGCAAATCCAGTTACAATTCATTGTTTTAAAGTAACAACTGAAAATGGGGTGTTATGGCAAGCTTAGGCCTGCCAGGAGGTCGTAAACCCCAGCAGTCAACTAGTATGCCCCCCTGCTCCTCCAAACAATCACCCTGTATCTCTCCTGCCATGTCTTGATGGAGCCAATTATGTGGAAGGCATCTTAAGCCTTAAGGCGCCTTTACACATGCTGCAAGGGTAGGGGGGTGATGCTCATTTGGATGAGCTTTAGGTAAAGATTCCCAGCTACCATTTTGAAGCACAGGGATGCTGAATACATGAGGTGCAAAGTGCTGCTAGAGTGTGCTAATTAGTGTGCTCCAGCAGATTCAACTAATTGAGTCTGCTCTGATGCACTGTAATGACAGCATGTCAGAGCAACGTCCCCTAACATTTACAGGCACCCATAGAATGGTATTCCCCTTGAGCCACTTAATTTCCCTTTTTTGTATTTGTCCAGGCCTTGACTCTCTTGGCCAGGGCCTATTTTGCTGTAGCTGGTCCCTTCACTTAGATCAATTATTTCAGGCAGAGGGCCACTTGCTAAGTTTTGGCAAGCTGTCAAGGGCCGCATTGGTAGCGGCCCTCAACAGGTGCCCTGCCCCCTGGTCGCCATTTTGAGACCAGAAGCCCCACCCCTAACCTCTGACCATTGCCACCGCAAGTCCCTCCCCTTGCCCCAGGATATACTCCTTTGTGGAAGAGGGTTTACTATCTTAGAACTGGAAAAAAAACAAATTATGTACTAAAAATCAAATACCTATAATAATATATTTTAATACAATTTTAAAAACATATTTCTGTCCTGATTTGTGTGCGTTTCTGCTGTATATGTAGAAGTGATTGCATAATAGCTCAAAATGCAGTCTTACTCTTGTATAGTATGTGGGGTGTTCAGGGGTATCACGGGTATGGGTGGGTGGGTGTGAGGTTTGTGGGGAGCTGTGGATGTATATGTGTGTATGGTATTTGTAGGATGTATGATTGTGTGTGGAGGAGGGTGTGGCTGTGGGGTGTGCGGGAAGGGTTTGAGGGTATGTGGGGTGTGCACCCGGACCTGCTCTGCAATAGCCCACAGCCCGAGCATGCAGGTGCAGCCACTCAGATCTAACTTTGGGGGAGCCTCCCTGGGCTTCCAGAGCTCTGTGCTGGCCCCCCACTGGTTTGTGCTGCCCCCAGCAGCCTTGGCCGCACCCCCGCACAGTCCCCTGGGCTGGCCACGCCCTTCCTGGATGGCTCCCAGGTTCCTGGCAGCTGCAGGAGCCTCCAAAATGCAAAAGCATCTGTGGGGCTAATTCTGCTCCTGGCAGAGCTTCCCTGCCCATCCCAGGGCCAGCAGGCAAGCTGCTGGCAGGTCTCTGGGCCCCTGGTATGTAAGTGGGCCCAGGCCTTCCCGCCGTGATGTGGCACTGGGCCCCAGGGCTGGCCATGCCAGGGGCCAGCCAGGCCCTTGTTGCCCATGTCTCATGGCTGTATTTTCACTCCAGTGGCTCCTGCAACCACCAGGAGCCTGGGGGCTTCCAGGGAAGGGCCTGTCAGGCCTGGGGCGTGAGAAGCATGGGGCAGTGGCGCGGAAGTTACATCACACATCTGAGGCTTGGGCAGCAACAGCTCAGCTGCCCCCCACATGGGCAGCCCTAGCGGGTGTCGCCACCCTGAGGAGCATGTCCGGGCCCCCCTTCCCACAGGGGCCCAGCAGCCTGCCAGCAGCTCAAGCGCTGGCCCTGACCCTGGGATGGAAGGGGACACTGTGCCAGGAGGTGGATCAGGCCCGCAGCTGCTTTTCTGCTCCAGAAACTCCTGTGATCTCCCTGGGCTTCCTGTGCCCTGGGCTGGTTCCTGCCAGCTCGCAGCAGCCCCTCGAACTACCCCTGGGGCCAGCCAGGGGCTTCCCCAGGCCCCTGGGCTCCTTGCAGCCACAGGAGCTTCCAAAGCGGAAAAGCAGCCGCAGCCCTAGTTTGTCTCCTGGCACAGCCTCCGTGTCCATCCTGGGGCCAGGAGGCTAACGGTTGCGAGGCCACCAGCTCCCTGTGCTGTGGAGGGGAGAGGCGGGACTTCCCTCTGGGGCAGCAGCACCCACCAAGGCTGCCCATGGTGGGGCAGCTGGGCCACTGCCACCCCAAGCCTCAGGTGTATGATGTAACTTCCGCACTGCCTCCTTGCACTTCCCAGGGCCAGGGCCATGTCCCTGCCCCCCAGTGGCTCTGGGGGCAAGGAGCCCCCTGCGCTGCCACCAGGGCCAGACAGGCTCTTCTCTGGTGGCCCCTGGCTTCCTGGCTGCGGCAGGAGTCTCCGGAGTACAAACATGGCCACAGGCCCTGATGCAAGTCTTCGCGGCTGCCTGGCTCCAGGCCAGACAGCCAGGGCAGTGGGCATCCACCCTGGCAGCCTGGGGCCTGATCCTTTCATCCAGATGGGCAAGCATGGGACATATGGGGTTGGGAGTGCGCACACTGGTCCCCATCTGTATTGCGGGCCTGGGCAGCTGGGAGTGAGTGGGCACATGGGAGCCAGCAATAGCCCAGTGGTGCCCCAGGGCCAGTGCTGGTGGGGCCCAGAGTGGGGTGACAGGAGTCCAGGGCATGGCTGGCTGGGCTCTATGGAGCTGGGCTGGGCTGCGCCAGCAGGACGAGAGGGGAGCACTGGCGCTGGCTCCTGCATGACTGCTCACTCCCGGGCCCCTACCACAGCCTCATGGTCAGGAGGGTACCAGCACGCACAGTCCCAACCCCATGTGCTCTGCTCTCACCTGTCTGGACGAAAGGATCCTAGCTGTTGCTGGCTCCCATGCACCTGCTCACTTCTGGCTGAGTGGCTGGACCGCAGAACTCAGCGGGAGCTGGCCGTCCCAGCCCAAGGACTGAGGCGATCACCGGTGGTCCTCCCCTGCCTACCTGTCCCCGCACTCTTATCTGAATTTTCCGCTCCGGCACAGGCAGAAGCAGCCCCATGGTCCCAGGTCAAAAGCTTCTGCTAGGTAGGGGCTTTCAGGTGAGGGGGTGGGGCCAGGGCCAGGTGGGCCCTGCTGTTCCATGGGCCTGCCATGGCTTCCCCTGGGTCCTACTGTCCCTGGATCCTGTCATTTTTTACAGCCAGGGGCAGATAAATATTAATTTTAAAAAACATTTTAGGAGCCCCAATGGACCACATACAATGGTCTGGCAGGCCAGATGTGGCCCGCAGGCCATCTTTTGCCCAACCTTGACTTAGACCCACTTAGTCCAGCCTTGGCTCTTTAGTAGCAGTGGTACAGCTGCAAATTTGGTTTCACGATAGGGCTGGACCCTCCTGGTTCCCCAGTCTCAAATGGGTTAAATCCTCATCTCTCTCAGTGTATGACCCCTTGCCCACAAGGGGTGAATCTCGCAGGTTGCTGTAAGGCACCTACAATGTGACCTTCACCTCCTCTCACAGTCGCTCTTGGTCTGCTGGACAAATGAACAGAAACAAAAATTGCAAGCAACCGCTTTCAACAAAAAATACTGCCTCTTCAGGCACTCATAAACAAACTCAACATGATAAAGGCAGTCCTTTATCATTTCCGGGTCCTGTGGCAGGGAAAAGAAAAAGGCCAAATGAAAAAAAAAACCCTCTCTTGATCCTTACTTCCCAGAGTTCCCCTTTTTGATTTTGGGCCCTGCTGTGGCCCACCTGAGGGATCCTGCCCTTCACCAGCCAGGGCTAGACTGCCTCTCCAGCCTGAAGGCAAGCCTACTCCCTGCCCTGTCCCTTCCGGTCAACCCAGCCTATTGACTGGTCCAAGAGCAGGGGCTGTTCATCAGTCCCAGCCCTGTCAGCTGCCTGCCTTTTAGCTCCTACCTCCACAGCATGCAGCCACTCCCCAGAGCAGAGTTACTGGCTTTTGCAGCTGTCTTTGTCCTGGGCCACAAAGACCCTTCTCTTAAATGGCTCCTGCTGGTTCGGCTGGCTTTGTAGCCCTCCCCCAGTAATAGGTCAAGGGTTCCTTGTTACAGGCCCAAACCAAAACTCTCAATCTGGATTTTCATTTGTTGCTTGTAGCAATGCAGATTTGAATACAGGCTGTGATCTAAATTTCAGCATGCACCCATTCACATAGAAATTCAGGAGTATTCAGATTAGAAGTTGGGATCTAACTCTTAAAGAAATATCGAGCCAGGTTTTTCAGTATTAGGGTACTGTCTAAATCCAGTAACTCCACTAGTCAATTACTCCAAGTTTATACCAGAATAAAGAGAAACTATAACTTTATAACTTGGAAAGTATGGAAAATCTTGAACCTGATGAGTGCTGGTTTTATTTAATTTTAATATCTGGGGCAGGTAAAGCTTACATCACTTAACATATGAATTGTGGTTTGGCCCTGGAAAGCATCAGCATGATCTTGTTCTGCATATCCTACAAGCTACATTGTTGCCATGTTCATTTCTTTCTTATGTCTCTGGCAGACGGAAGGTTTCAGGTACCCCAGGCCCTCGTCAGTCCCACCATCCCCTTCTGTCTCCCAGCCTTCCAGCCCTCATCAAAGTGATGAGGAAGATGAAGATGAGGATGAAAGATATGATGAGGATGAAGAGGCTGAAAGGGACAAGCAAAATATAAAGGCACCCTTTTCCCTTGGAATAATGCCACCAGGAAAGAAGCAGCAGCATGGAGAATATAGGAACTGAATGCCATTGTTGTCATGCCTGATGATGTTTCAGCTCCTGAACAGTGCATTCATGTAGGTTGGTCAAGCTACAGATTGAGGACAGTGCTATGAGGTTAGGAAATTTGAAACAAACATTACCTTACAAGTAGTTTAAATTGTAATTCTCCTCCCTTCCTTGGAGGTAGAAGAGATTGTTAAAATGTATTAAACCTGGATAATATTATGATTCTCCTGTGATCTCTCCAATTAAGTTAAATGTACTATAGATCATATTTGCATCTGAAATTCATTATAACCCATGAGAGCAGATCCATCATAATTATTCCAATCAAATATCCATTAATTTCTCTACTCGGCCCTTCCAAACTAACTATCACCTTTAAGTCATGATTTACCACATTTTGAAGAAATTGTTACATGTGGGAAAACCTGACAGGGTTCAAAAAGTGTTGAAAGAAAAGAGTCAATTTTTTTCTTATGTTCTTTATTCTATTTTAAATCTACATCACTGTAAGCATTTTTTACACAATGCAAAAGTGTCTTGATCCAGATGTAAACCATATTTCTTGTGGAAAAATATCTAGTTCAATGAGTGGGCATTTTTATTATTTTCTGAAGTTGTCTAGGGCCACAATAAATGGCAGGCCACTCATCTTCAGGCTTTTGTTGAATGATTCATGTTATTATATTTTTACTCTCTTAGATGAAGTAGTTGGTGGAGAAAATTAATGTGACTTTGCCCAAAGAACTAAAAAATTCCTGACTCTGTACCTGGCCTCTGCAGATAAGCCCACATCGCATTGACTTGATAACATTTAAAAGATGATAACCATAGATAGCTCTTTCCACTGTCAGCATGAAGACCTCCTGGTTTTGGAGTTATCAGCACTTTTTATTATAAAATGTATCTAGACCATATCTAGACTATGAACACACAGCAAGAAGCACATGAGACAGAGAGCCTGAGAGTAGCAATAGGGTTTACCCTCTGGGCTATTCTAAAGCAATCATGATGATTTATTTCCAGAATTTGGGCTCGTTCTGTAGGAGTGAGTGAGCAGGGCATGCTTCTTGGCAGCATTACTGCACATATTATGGAAGTGATGTAGGTGAGCCTTTAGGGTTCTTGAGTGATATTGTACTGCTAAGTACTGTACAACCACATATTGAGAGAAGTAGTCCTTTGCCCTGAAAAGCATATGATCAAGACAGGCAAAAGGCAGGAACAGAAAGAAAAACAACTTTCCCAATACTGCAGAGCTGGCCAGTGTTACAGCCCAGAACAGAACTCCAGTCCCCAGACTACCCATCTAGTGGTGTAGTCACTGGAGTGCACTGGAATCAAGAGGTTCCATCTCTTGCTTCGCTGGTGACTAAAGGTAGGAGGTTGCCCTTCAAATTATATGACAAAGTTCTCAAAATGAAAGGTATAAATCCCTCCCCTATAAACCAGAGGAATAGGCTCAAAATAATGGCTGGTGACTAAGGTGAAGCAGACAACTATAAAGGTACTGTAAGTGTGCAGTGTGGAAAAGATTTGATGGGACTGAAATAAAATAGTTTAACTCATTCTTCCCAGATGGATCCCAGAGAGCTGAGATGGGCAACTTGCAGATTGCCACAAGATTCTTCCTTAGCCACATCTATAGCATATGAAATCACTGGGGTAAATAGTGATCTGGATGGCACTTGAATGCCCACATTATCCTAAAGAAGACAAGGTTCTTTGGGTGAATCTGATATCTTTTATTAAACCAACTAAAATAGTTGGAAAAAATCTTCTTTGCAAGTTTTGGGGTACAAATACCCTTCTTCAGGCAGAAGGAGCATCTACAGTTGTTTTCTCCTCTCCCAGATGGGATAGAAGCCAGTATCTGGCTTCTATCCCATTCAGGAGAGCACAGAACAACTGCAGACACCCCCTCTGCCTGAAGAAGAGTGTTTGTATCCCAAAGTTTTTATCCAAAATAATTTTTCCAACTATTTTAGTTGGTCTAAAATAAGATACAATATTTACCCAAAGAACCTTGTCTGCTTATGTCCTTAGACCAACATGACTACAACCAACACCCTGAAACACTTTGACACCCTCAGCTGGACATCATTAGGATAGTCTCTTCAAGCTCAGACACTGCAGTCTGCAGACAATTTTTATAAACAGTTGCATGAAAAACATATGACTCCCAAGTTTTATCTTGATGAGAGTGAGGTTGATGCTGGCATAGAAAGTAAAAAGCACTTTGATAACATGGCTGCTTCAAAGTCATGCATAGTCTCCTGATTCCCCTTTATAAAAAGCAGCAGTCATTGGGAAGCCCACTGCTTTCCAGATGCTAAAATGACTCTCTCACAAACATAGGCCTACAATAGCCAAATTAATTTATGTTTTCTATATGTAAGTCATGTCAATTCCATCCTGAGCATCAAGGCCAGTTCCCAGAGGCATAACAAAGCAACTGGGTACCCAGAGCAGTAGGGACTTCTGGTTGTCGCCATGCTGCCAGTGGCATGGTTGTGTGGCTGTGGCAGCTGCTGATGTTTTTCCTCCCCTCACCTTGACCCCCAAGTCAGTGACCAGAGCAGTTGCTATCAAGACTATGGTATTATTTTAAATATTCCAATTGTGGATCTTAATCAAGTACAGAAGCTGTTCTGTAGTCACATAAAGCCAACAGCCACTAACTCTAAACCATTATTGGGGTATTTATTGACATCTGACAAACTTGGCAGTACTTATCTGCCATGGTGAAAACATGAGGATTGCACAAGCAGCTGATTTCCACATAAAGTAAAACTTTTATTCGGTATTTAATGACATTTGTTAAAGAACTGTCTAAAGTTGTGGGCTTGGATATACAGTAAAACATCAAAAGTCCATTTATCCTGAATGTAATATAACAAGTATTTTCTGTAGCTCTAAAATGTTCTGTCACATGAGGTTTAGGTTAGTCTAATAGATCAGAGACATGCATAAAACCTTCTTTATAGCAACTTGATGTTATCCTGTGCTCAAAAATGATTTAAAAAAACACCTGAAGCATTTGCACTATATCTCATCCAAAGCTCATTGAAATCACTGAATAAATTCCCATTGACTTTCCTGGCCCCTAATTAATGCATATATTGATCCAAAACATACTGCCATTGAGTGATATAGTAAAAACAAAACAAAACAGGTCTGTCCTTAATTCCATCTGTTTTTTTCCCTCTAAGCCCAATTTAAAAAAGTTATCAGAAGTACCCATCAAAAAATCATGAAAATTGGTTCCCCTGTTAATTCATCTGTGTTGCTTTTGCGTAGAGAGTAGCAACATTATTTTGATTGTAATTTAACAGACCTAACTCATGTCAACATCAGGAGAAAGATAACAGGTAAACAGTATTGGGTGGGGGGAGAAACAGGGGAGCAAGATTTGTGATAAAGGTTAAAAAAATAAAGCATAGTTCCTGGGACACCAGTATCATGTAACTGCTTTTTAATTACATAAGAAATCCACACGGTTTTTGAGTAAATACTGTACAACTACATAGTAATGTTAAACAGATCTATCTATACCTGTGTAGAATTATAATTTACCATTTGAAGGGTCATATGTTTAGAGACCATGTATAATTCAGTAGGATTACTCACAGTACGTAAGGTTAGGTATTTAAGTTTTTGCAGGATTGAGGCTTAAGTAAACAGCCTGTTGGCTGTTCTTTAGAGTTGAAGGGTGCAGACAGAAGTGACAATTTTCTCCTGATCTGGCCACAGAAAGTGATCTATAGCTGTGACCAAAAACAAGTGCAGGGCTACAGACAGCTTAAAATGGCCGGTCCAGTGAAAATCTGAACCCTCATTGCATGAGGGGTCAGATGAAGTCATTTTAAAACAGAGCATCTTCTGTAACATCTGCCTGTGGTGACTGATACAGATAAAATAAACCACTTGCTTTGTTAGCCCACATGCTAGATGTATCATTGACCTAACTGGATCATCAATAAAAGGAAGGGCCGTCAATAAGGAGGTTAAAATTCAACAGTGCCTGTGAGTAAAAGTGATTAAAAGTAGAGTAGATTTGAAAACGGTAAAAGTTTTTATAAATACGCGCACAGTAAAATCATAACAAAAGATTTCTTTAAAAAATCAGTCAGTTCTGATGTGACATTTGGGGCCTGTCAGCTCTAATGGTATAGTGGATTTTAAATTTTGGCTGGCAAATAAAGTGGTCTGAACAAGATAGGAAATTTGAAAATAGTTTCTGTAGCTGAACAACATCTTTTTAATCAATTTGCATTCAAAATGTAGGAAGGAGTCCAAATCTTATTCCTTCAGAACACAGGAGTGGAAGGGTGAATTGGAGTATTATGATCACACAGACTGTGGTTTCAAGGGAGATCTAGGAAGAATGTTGATGTAATTGGTAAGCTTTCACCAGTTTAATAGATTATTTGTCAAATATCCCAGGTGATCACTTGTTTCTTCTTCAGCTGCAAGACAAAAAAGAAAAAGCATGAGGAGGGAAAAAGTAAGTTGCATGTAAAAAAAAAAAAGCACAAAGTTTAGCTGTGGGTGAAACAGAAGAGTTTGAGACATAATCCTGTTATCTGTTCTCTAAGACAAAAGACATTTTGAGTGCCTTAATCTGAGCTACGGGGGTTGCAGGCACTTTAAATAGAGTGGCTCTTGGGAGCCACTCTAACTAAAGCACTTGCAGTGTCTCATGTATTCAGCATCCTGCACTTCAAAATGTTGGTGGGAGTGCTTTAATTAAAGCTGGTTCGACGAGCTTTAATTAAAGCGCTGCTGCCACCATTTTGAAGTGTAGGGATGCTGAATACATGTAACATTGGGGCTGCTGGACCATGCTACTTTGCACACATCGATCGGCACAGGTGTCAGGCATGTGTGTACGTGCCCTTTGGGATTTATGTAGAGAGGATGGGTTTCTATCTACTCAACTTTTAACTGTTAGAAATTCCCTGTCTACCAGATAAGAGGGCTATTCACCAGTTAAGGTCAAGCATCTTAAAGAGAGAAAGTAGCACTCTGCTTTCTCTCTTATGGGGAAGTACCTCCTTTGTTTGGGCATTTTCCCTAGAAGAAAACAAGTAATTGAGAATGAAAGTTCATCCTTTACCCTTATGGATGTTGACCCCATTGCTCTCCCCTCTAACATGGTGATGCTCAAACTATGGTTCATGGGCCAGATTCACCCCACATAGCTATGTCATCCAATCTGTAAGGCTCTTCCTGTGTCCAGAAATTTAGCAGCTGGGGAGTCGTGGCAGCGTTAATTGCTCCAGCTCCCAGAAACAGTACATGGGGTCCCTCTGCAACTGGGCCCAGCACATGGGGCCAGGTTGGGGTGCTAGATTGGACCTGCTTACCAACAGCACACTGGATGAGGTCCATAGACAAATCCTGAGTACAGGATCTGGCCCATGGACCAGCCCTATACCACCCATCTGGCCTGCAAGGCTGAATAGTAGGGCTGTGTGAAATTGCACCGGCTATTTCGTTTCAATGCTGTTTCAATTCATTTTGAGCTCAAAACAGCGAAATCGAAATGAAATGAAGGGCTTCAAAACAGCCTCAAAAAGAAACATGGACAGTCATAAAGTTGCAAAAGTTTCAAAACGTTTCGAGTTTTGAAGCTGAAGCTGGGCTTGCCTGCAGGGAAACAGAAAGTAAGAAGAGGGAGGGGGAAGAGGGGGGAAGGACACAGTGAGGGTCGGCCTTAACACACACACTGGAGAAGAAGCTCCTGCAGGAGAGGAAAGTAAGGCTCTGTCATAGTTTGGCTGCTTGAGATGCTGCTGGTGCTACTGTGCTAGTGCTCACTAAGTTATTATTTTACCTGTTGTTATTTAAAGTGGTGGACCAGAGGAGGAGGCCTCATTGGGGCACACTACCATGTCATGTAGAGGCCCAAACACCAGTGAGGGCACTCCTTAACACAGACACAGTCACACGTCATGAGTTTTGCTTGTCAGCAGCTTGAGGTGCAGTTTCCCAGAAACCCCTGCACCTATCTCCTTGAAACTTGGTAGGCTTTATGGCCTCAGCAGGGGCTAGCAAGCCTCCTGTTTTTGCCTCCCTGTGCCTTAACATACACGTGACATGAGTTTTGCTTTCAAGATTTTGAGGTGCAGTTTCCCAGAAACCCCCACACCTATATTTTTGAAACTTGGCAGGCTTCATGCCCTCAGAAGGGGCTACCATCACCACTGTTTTCTTCTAAATCTGCCTAAAAATAACGAAGTTATAGGCAGTTTTGTGCTTCTCCATTATAGCATTATGG